GACACTGTTAATCACAGACACACACTGGAACACAGAGATACAGACACTGTTAATCACAGACACACACTGGAACACAGAGATACAGACACTGTTAATCACAGTCACACTCTGGTAATAAGGTGTCAGTACAGTCAGTGCTGTCTGTCAGCAGAGTGATGCACAGTGTATGGAGAGTCAAACGTATTCACTCACCAGTGAGTTTCTCCTTCCCTGCAAAGAAACACAGACAATTATGTTAAGACACAGAATTAAGGCTGCAGAATTTGGGAAATTATTTTCGCCATTTTTTCTATTACAACACATTCTGTATTTCACTGAACAACAAATACACAAGAACAAGCAACATTTCTACTTATCTAGCCCATGTTAATAGTTAACCAACCCAAGGATCTTTAACAGCTCTTTCTGCTGTGCACTTCCTCACAACTGAGCCCTCTTATATCAGTTTTCTGTGATAAATTGGAAGGTCTGGTACTGTCTACACGTAATCTGTGATTTCCACTTTAGGGTCATCCCACCCCCTCCTGCCACATGATCGTGTTTGACCAATGAAAACAGAGCTCATGTCTGACAGACAGATAAAGACAGTCTCTGCTATCAGGAGGTAAAATAAACAGGAAGATATAGGGGGTCTTTTTGAATTGGCTTGGCTTGACTATGGTGAAATTGAAGATATTTCCGATCTACTATAATCATTGAATATATATGTAGCCACTTCTCCCTTCTCTCCCTATGCTCCAGGTTTGCCCTGTAGGGATCTGACTTTAACACAGTGGACACACTCTGACCCTTGACCTCATGTATTAGTAAAACTGTAGATCCTGCAGTAACAGCAGATTAACAAAGAGTCCCCACCCAGCAGAAGATCAGTGATATCAGTCACAAAGTGAAGATGGAATATAAGCTCCACATGAGATCTGAGGTCTCTAATCAGAACCCAGAGAGTATACTGGACATTGAAGTGGTCAGAACTGGCAGATGAATAGATCACTGTGTCAGCAGATACACTTGATCCTCACATGCACAGACTGGACAGATGACTGGATCCTGCAGTTTACAGTGATCTTCAGGACAGGATATCAAGGCTCAGTCTAGGTTTGTAATGAATCCAGTCTGGGGGTCTGAGGGCTGCGTCTCTACTGTTTGATGATGATGTTGTCTCCTCTGACTGTGATAACCGAGTGAAGAGCTCAGCAATCTGGGGGGACCTTGGAGCAGAGTCACTGCTCCTCTGGAGCTGGCTGAGCTGGTTCAGGAATCTGCTGGAGGTGTACTGGGCACACTGGGAGGAGACCAGGCACAGACCCAGGTAAAACTGGAGGGGTTATAACTCTCAGCTGGCCTGGAACAGCTGTGAATCCCCCAGGAGGGGCTGGAGACTGTTGCTGGAGAAAGAGAAGTCTGCTCTGCCCTGCTCAGTCTGTTACCACTGTAACCCTCAACAGGAGTCAGAGGTAAGAAAATATTTGGATGGAGTTTAAAACAGTTTTTCTTTTCCTTTGTCACTGTATTCAATCTCTACTGCTATATTATTTTATTAAATTTAGTGCATGTATTTATTTTAGTAAACTCTACTCAGATGTATTAAAGGTGAAAGGAAAGGGGTTACAGGTGAACTGCAGTGTGTGTTGTCCCTGCATTCACTACAGGATCATCTGCAGAAGTGACACAGAACAGACACTGGACACTCCTACAGGCAGGCCTCTGCTGTCAGCACTGGTCATGTACTGAGCCCAGACTGCAGTGAGGTCTGTGAGTCTTTCACCCTCTGTGAGATACTGTACTTCTCTGAGCACTAATGCTTCATCTTGTGTATCACCACATCTTTCAGATTCCACTGACTTGTCATTAATGGACTCTAATGAATAGCAGTATTTTAAATCCTTATTTAAATCTTATTTATTTAAAAATCCTTATTTAAAAAGTATTTAAATCTTAAAACATACATATATAATGAGCACATACTGTCCATTCTTCTCCACTGGATCACCAGAAGTACTGATGCTGCTACAGTAACAGCTGCTGTTAAGAAGAGAGCCACCATCCAGCCAGAGGGAGCAGAGAAATAGTCTCCTGGAAAACATAATAAGTATTTTAATATTCAGAATAAAACATATGCTATATGTAGTGTCATGCTGAATTGACCATGCTCCTTCTCTCCTGTCAGTTCTGGTTGCCATGGATATTATCAGACAGGAGACCTGGATCACCTGGACAGATTCCACTCACACTGCCTCAGGTGGGTCAAGTTATTTAGTGTCTGCTCTGACTTTGTGATTCATTCGGATTCCTGGCCTGGCTTCTGGCTTCTCATGACTTCATTCCCAGATCACCTTTGTGTCTGCTACACTCCTCAGCGTTTACTTTGTTTCAGGCCTGTTTCGTCCCGACCTTGTCTTCTGGATTCTGCCTTACACTCTGCTCTCTGCCATGGATTCTGCTTGCCTAGACCTAAAATTAGGATTTTCTTGGTGCTTAACTCCTGGGCTTTCCTGGATCTGACCTGCTTAACTGGACCACAACCCTGGACTGTGTCTGCCTGCCTGTCCTCACTCGTGTGTGTTTACTGCACACACCACACTGCCTGTCCCCACTCCTGTGTGTTTACTGCACACAC